AGTCCCCCTGGTCTCAGCCTCCGCTCAGTGCCTTACGCTCCCCACGTCAGGGTCCCAGGCCCAAAGCAAGGGTTAGGACAGGTCCAGACCCTTGGGAGTGAATCGGCTCCTCCTCCAAAGCCCCTCTGAGCGAGGCCACCCAAGCCTGCAGATCAGGAGGGATGGGGGGTGGGAGGGCGCGTCTTTCTTGTTGGATGATGGGGCGGGGGTCAGGGGGTGCTGAAGGCCAAGCTACCTTCTACTTCCCTCTTGGCAGAGGGGTGGGCAGGCTGTGCTGAAGAATGTGTCAGAGGATGGCGAGGGGCTTTCTGGCTGCTTGGGGAGACACCAGAACCCAGGTGAGGGGCGGGGTGGGCTGGAGGGCGGCCCGGGAGGAGGGGGGCGCTCAGCCTTGGTTCTGGACTCCAGATGCGGGGAGTGCCCTCCTCCCTCCGCCCTCAGCTCACCAAGGACCAGGCAGGGGAGGGGGGACGGGCCTCCCACGCTGGCGTGTCAGCAGCAGGAGGGTGACTCTGGGGCAGACCGGCAGGGCTGGGGGGCTCAAAGCAGGCCCCACAGTGGGGCAGAGAGGAAGGGAGTCAGCGGTCAGCACAGCGCTTGAGCCCCCCGCCTGGGGGAGGACACGCGGCCTGCCTTACCCGAGCGCTCACCAGGCCACACGCTGGAAGCTGGCTGGTTCCTGCTCCGTCACGCCATCCACAGAGGTGACCCCAAACTTCGAGCCCACGTTATCGACAAGTTCCTATTGTTGCCTTTCCGCTCTGGATGGGAGGTCCAGAGCGGAGGTCTCTTCTACTTCCAGGGTGCTGATGGCCTATGCCCCACCCAGGTGGGAATGTACCTAGGGCTACATGGTACTAGCCTGTCGAAGGCTTTCTGCCCAGGGAGGTGCGTGTTGTCATCACCCATTTCAGAGAGGGGGACCCGGGGCTCAGAGGAGTGAACCTGCCTGGTGTGACCCCAGTGGGAAGCTCGACTCCTGTGCCGGTGGCCCTCAAGCTCACATGCACAGGGAGGCCGTGAGGGAGCGCAGGCCATGCCCACGCGGAGACACATGGCCCTTCATCTTGGAAAGGCTCTCTGAGTGACCCTAAGGCATCAGCAGTGGGAGCAGCCGGGGTTTCGATTCCAGGGCTCAAGGGGCACCCACCCCAGCCCTGCCCTTTGGGAGGGGCTACTTGGGCTACATCTGGCTCAGGAAGCTAGTCGCGATCTGATGGGCGGTTAAGGCCCCCAGAGACGTTCATCCCGTGGTTAAGCTCCAAGAGCTTGGGCCAGATGGAGTCTGAGCCAGGGCCCGAAAGATGGGGGTGACTCTCCTGCTGAGAGGGGTGGTGGAGTGGGGTCCAGGGCTCTCAGATGCCTGCCTCTGCTCTGCTCTCAGCTGGAGTGGGCCATGAAGCTCTGGTGGCCGCACAGCGAAGCCATGATCGCCTTCCTCATGGGCTACAGTGAGAGCGGGGACTCTGCCTTGCTGAACATCTTCTACCAGGTGGCCGAGTACACTTTCCGCCAGGTAAGTGCTGCTTCCTGGTCTCAGCGGTGTGGAGACCGCAGGCACGGCACACCCCCTCCTTCCCCCCCTCACCGGACGTGTTCCCTCAGTAGGTCTGAGAGTTCCTGGAAGTCCCGGCCCTGGTGCTCTCTGTTCAGTCAAGAGAGTGGCCGCTGCCCCACTGGAGCTCACATTTGGTGCTGGTGGGACCGACCATAAACAAGTAAACCAGCAAACATAGATGGTGATGAGAGCTCTGGGAAATAAAGCAAGGTCAGGGGACTGGGGGGCTAGTGGGAAGGAAAAAAGCTGGGGCTTCAGGAGGGGAGGCCAGAGGGCACTAGGCGAAGGCAGGGAGACTGGGCTGTGGCTGTCATCCTGGCTAGTGAGTGGGGGCCTGGCCCGGGGTGGGAGCTGCAGCGGCTCAGGGGTCAGAGTGTGGTCGAGTGGGAGAGGTGTGGGCTGGCCACGTGAGGCAAGGTAACCTTGGAGTACAGAAGGAAAGGAGAAGAGGGAATAGGCAGGCCCATCAAAGGAGAGAGAATCATCTGCGAGGTAGGAAGGAAGCCAGCCCCCCCGCCCCCCCGCAGAGGCCCGAGTGCCGTGAGCAGAGTGATGAGCTGTGCCAGCTGCTGCCGACGGGCACCTCGGGTGCTGAGCCTGATGGGGAATGAAGGAAGATTCCCGATGTGTTTCTAAAGCCACGACTCACTCCATTAGTAAACCCCAGTACGGGAGGCATTACAACAGGGGGGTCTTATTCTGAGGTCTGTGGGCTTTGAAACCTGAGAGAAAATTCCACCTTTATTTGCACTAACCTCTAACTGAAATCCAGCATTCACGTCCATCATGAATGAAAGCAGTGAACCACAGTATTAGCAGTGTCTGACTTTGTCACCAGTAGAAATTCCAAATGTGTTCGTGTTATGCTGTGGTTAGAGAGGCATCTCCAAGTACTGCACACGCTTGTCACTGCTTCCAAACACGGGAGCCACAAGACCAGAGGCGATATATGTTAATATTGAATGCATTCATAGAGAACATGTGTTCGAGGTGATCGCTCTTAACTGCATAAAGTGAAATTTAAGGAATACATTTTCAAGAAAGAGAGATTGTATCGAACAATCACAAAAGTTATAAACAACAGGTAATTCACTATGCACTAATCGTCATAACAATACAGAAAGCAAAAATTCAGACATCCATGGAAAGGCTGGACAGGAAAACAGTCAAATCCTTTGTTATCTTCCCATGTCATATCCAGTAGCCAAATAATAAGTAAGGACATGGGTAATGTCACTGGAAAGATAGAATGAACAGATACAGAACTAGTTTTCCCTCCTATGAAGAATACACCTACTCATAGGTCCCCATTTAAAAAGACATCTTTGGTAGTGGACTTCAATGTCACTGATTTCTTCTATGGTCCTTCTGAGAAGGGGTTCCACTCGGGTCTCTATCTGGGGAGGAGGGGCCTAGGCCAGGGCTCTGAGGTCTATCCTGGAGCGTCAGGAAGGAACTGGGCAGGAGAGAAGCGAGGAATTTGGAAAGGGTCAACAGAGCTGCTGGGCAGGGGCAGGCTTCAGGTGGCTCCGAGGGAGGGGGAGATGTGTTTGGGACCTGTGGTGAGCAAGGGAGAAGTCAGACCTCTGTACGGGATATCTACAATGTAGCGCTATCTACAGTCTCATCCACGGCAAGACAGTCATCTGAAGCAGGGAACAGGAGCTCCAAAGGAATAACTTGTTACAAAGTTACATGGCAGGTCAGCACTTCCTCAGGGTTCCGTTTCTTTTTACATTGTTATTTTTTTAAATTATATTTATTTACTTTTGGCTGCGCTGGGTCTTTGTTGCTGCGCGCGGACTTCTCACTGCGGTCGGTAGCTACTCTTGTTGCGGAGCACGGGCTCTAGGCGCGCGGGCTTCGGTATTTGTGGCGCACGGGCTCTAGAGCGCAAGCTCAGTAGTCCCAAGCAGGGTTTTTGTTTTTGTTTTTGTTTTAAATTCCATCTTGCAAGGTTTCATCTCACAGCCTGCGGCCCCTTCCCCAAGTGGGGTAACTAGCTGCAGGCTCAAAACTCCACCCCCACCCCCACAAAGAAAAAGGAAAAGCCCCTTGCTTTCATATTTGTCCAGGAGGCGGGACCTCATTTAAGAGCACTGATTCTGGAGCCGGGGGTCAGCCCGGGCTCTGACCCCGAGGTAGCGGTTTAGTGGGACCGGTGAACGCCCCTTTCCCAGGCCTGTGGCATCTGGGCGGTTCCTGCAGGCGCTGCCTGTCACTGCCTCATTGTTATTGCAGTTTCGCGATCCCGAGTACGGGGAATGGTTTGCCTACCTGAACCGAGAAGGGAAGATCGCCCTCACCATCAAGGGGGGGTCCTTTCAAAGGTGAGTGGGGGAAAGGGCGGGGCCCAGGGGCTCGGGGCACTCGGCTGCCCACGGCCCTCCCAACCCGCCGTCCCGCCTCTCCCCGCAGGCTGCTTCCACGTGCCGCGGTGCCTCGCCATGTGCGAGGAGATGCTGAGTGACCTCCTGAGCAGCCTCGCCCTGGCCTCGGCCCCGGCCCCGGCCCTCAGCGCCCGGTCTCCGCCCGCCGACCCCGCCCGCCGAGGCGCAGAATAAAGCCAAGCCTGCTCCACTGCCCGTGTGTGTGAGCGTCTGTGGGGTGTCGGGTGGTGGACCAACCACCACCTTTGGCTGGAGAGCACCTGCTCGCCCTGCCAGTGACCCGCCCCGCGCGCTGGACCCTCCCACCCTGCCAACAGGCCCGCCCCGCGCCGGGGTCCGCCCGGCCATTGGCCCGGCCCGCCCCGCGGAGAGGCCCCAACCCGCCCTTGGCCCTCCCTGCGCATGGCCGAGCGGCCGGGAGGGCGGGCCCGGCGGGCGGGCGGGCTCGGCGGCGCGCACTTCCGGCCGGTGGTCGGTTCTGGCGGGCGCGTCATCTTCTGGCGCCGTCCCCGCGATCCCAGACCCAGCCACGGACCCAGCCACGGACCCAGCCACGGACCCAGCCCCAGCCCCAGCCCCAGCCACAGCCCTGCCTTGGCAGCCCCGGCGTCTCTTCGGAGCGCGGTGGCAGCTGACTGCGTGTTCACGACCCGCTGGGAGCCGCGAGTCCCGCCGCCATTATGAACATCCGCAATGCGAGGGTGAGGGGCCGGGGCCGGAGGCTGTCCGCGCCGCGTGGGAGCGGGGCCCGGTGGCCGCGTGCGCGTGCTCCTGAGGGGCCCGGCCGATCACCGGGCCAGGCGCCCTCGGCCGCCCGGCGCGGAAAAGTGAAGGCCACGTCCCCGTGGGGCTGGATCTACGCGAAGAGGAGGCCGGGGGAGCCAGGGGGGCAGGGCCGGGGCTGCGAACTCTTTCTTTCTGGATGTCGGGTTTCCGTTGGATGGTGTCGGGGAGCTTCCTGGAGCTCAACGTTCATTCCTGGAACAGTCAGTTTTTGCACAGCGGCTGTGGGCCAGGCCTGTGCGGAGACAGTCCCAGCGCCCGCCCAGCTCTGTGGGGGGGCGGGGGTCGCTGAGTAGACAGCAGGGTTCTAACACGACCAAGGCCTACTTAGTCACCGCAGCCCCCGGCCTGACTGCATTCCACTGCCCTCCTGTCCCGCAGCCGGAGGACCTGATGAACATGCAGCACTGCAACCTCCTGTGCCTGCCCGAGAACTACCAGATGAAATATTATTTCTCCCATGGCCTTTCCTGGCCCCAGGTGGGCAGCTGTTGAATTTGGGGATGAGGGAAACCAGGCCAAGGAAATTCCACCCTGGGTCGGCTTGGGACGAGCTGGCGAGGTCGCACAAGGTCGTGAAGAGTCCGGGGGGCGCATGGGTCAATGAGGCCCTGAGTGTTTCCGGCTGGGGTGGCGGGAGATGGATAGGAGGCGCCTTGAAGAGGGGCGAAGAACAGGGCCAAGGTAGGGGCAGTATTCCCACCTGTGTCCGTCCACTTCTTCTGGGTTAAGGAAAGGGCACGGTGTGATGTGGGAAAACCAAGCCACTTGGCCTGGAGGTCAGGAGCTGTCACTGAACTCGCTGCCCGATGGGCTTCTGTCATGCACACAGCGACAGGCAGGCGCTGGGGCCAGGTGTCCGATAAGGGCGCCTCCAGCTCTGACAGGAACTTGTTTTCTGCCATCTCTTTCTTCCTGTCACCCAGCTCTCTTACGTCGCTGAGGATGAGAATGGGAAGATTGTGGGGTATGTCCTGGCCAAAATGTGAGTCACCAAGGACGGAGGGACAAGCTTGGTGCCTGACCTGGGGGTGGGGGGAGGAGGGACACCGACACCGCACGCGTCTGATGGATGCTGCCTGGGTTGGGTTGGGTTGGGTTTTTTTGTTTCGTTTTGTTAATTAATAGATTGTTCCTTTAGTTCAGTTTCCTCTCACATTAACATCTTGTGGCACATCTGTTACAATGGGTGAACCGATACTGTTACATTATTGCAGAAACCCATAGTTACATTGTTTTACTCTGAGTTCTACGTTCCATGGACAAAGGTATAACAATGTATCCGATACTATAGTATCAAACAGAGTAGTTTCACTGCCCTCCCTCCCTCCCCTCTCCCCGGGAACCACTGATCTCTTTACTGTCTCCATAGTTTCGCCTTCTCCAGAAGGTCATATGATTAGAATCATACAGTGTGTAAACATTTCAGACCACCTTTCACTTAGTCATATGCATTGAAGTCTCCCCCCACGTCTTTTCATGGCTTGAGAGCTCCTTTCTTTTTAGCACTGAACAGTATTCCATTGACACTGCACATGTCTTTTGGCTGCTGCCTGGGGTTTGGAGAGTCCTGGCTCTCCCCCGTCCCGGGACTGGACGCACTTCGGGGTTCACGCCTGGCCCCTCTCCTTTCTTCTTGCTCTAGGGAAGAGGGCCTGCACAACGTGCCCCATGGACACATCACCTCGCTGGTGCGTAGGGCCCACCCAGGCTCTGGTGGGGGTGGGGGCGGAAGTTAGTTGGAGCCACCCTGAGGTCCCACCTTTCTCCCACCAGGCTGTGAAGCGTTCCCACCGGCGCCTTGGCCTGGCTCAGAAGCTGCTGGACCAGGCCTGCGGAGCCATGATCGAGAACTTCAATGCCAAATACGTCTCCCTGCATGTCAGGAAGAGGTGGAAGCCAGGGCCGAGGGAAGGGGGGTGGGTAGGGGGATACTGTCTGTTTTGTTGGTTTTGTTTTGAATTTTCTTTTATTTATTTTTATACAGCAGGTTCTTATCAGTTATCTGTTTTATACATATTTGTGTATATATGTCAACCCCAGTCTCCCAATTCATCCCACCACCATCAGCGGGGATACTGCCTCGATGTGGATCCTGGGCTGCCTTGGCTTTTGGAGAAGATCGGGAAGTGGGCTTAGTGGGGAGGGGGACCAGGAGGAGGGGCAAGACCTGGATGTGCTGTCCCTGCCTGGCCTCGTCTGTACAGCTCAGCAGTGCCTTATTCCCCTGCAGTAACCGGGCCGCTCTGCGCCTCTATTCCAACACCCTCAACTTTCAGTAAGTAGATCTACATTTTTCTCATGGAGTGGGATGGTCCCCAGGTCTGGCTTATCCAGGTGGCTGAGATGGGCTGAACTACCTTCCAGGCAGGGGCGTGAGGGCGGCTAGGGCTAGCTGAGATGGGGGAGCGGGCCGTGGACAGCACTCTTGGGGGCAGAGCACCTGCCTGCCGTAGGCTGCTTGAGGCATGTCGCGCTTCCGGAGGACGCTTGGTGTTTCTTGCTTGATGCTGGTGGCGGCTATGCTGGAAGGGCAGCACGGTGAAGAGGTTCGGAAGCAGAGACAAGGGCCCAGGACAAGAACAGAAGCCAAGGAGCAGAACTGAGTGACCAGGCACCCAGAAGCATCTAAGCGGGACCAGAAGAAAGGATAAATCTGAGCACGTCCGCACAGGAAGGGCCAGTGGCAAGAGCAGCGGAGGGATCTAGAGCCCTGGGTGTCCTAGTGGATGAGGCTGGGTCCACTCAGGGATGTGGCAGTCTCTGTGTGCCCAGCGCAGGACAGAGAGAGCCTAGCAGGGAACTGCTCTGCCCAGTACATTGTGGTGAAAGCTGCTGGAAAGTGAGGCTGAGGTGGGCTGTCCATGGAGGGCCCACTGAGACAGCGTCAGCTTCAGCTTGGTGGGGGACGAGGAGGGACTGTTGGGAAGGCAAGTGGCCTCCGGGCTGGGTATTTGAGGCAGGATCTTTGGCCTGGATGCAAATGCCTCTGGTGGTTGACAGTTCTAGGGTCTTAAGGCTGGCAGGGCCGTTCTGGGCCATCCAGACTGGCTCCCTTTTCAGTGGCAGGGTGCCCAGGTCTGCATACACACCTCCCAGCGCAGGCTTGGCCCCTGAGCTGCTCGGGCTAGGGGCCACGC